AATTACAAATGGGATTATATAGATCTTATCTGGCATACCATTACTTCGTTATCAGAGTTGAAAGTATGATCAGTGTTCTTGTCCAGAGATAAAGAGTCAGAAATAGTTGAGTCCCTATAACGGTTAGACAGTAAGCGAAGATACTTGGGTTCTCTTTTACTGTGTGTATCAGGGTTTGTAGATGAATTATTTGGACCAGTTCTTGGGGAATCCAAGGGAGAGAAGATATTAGGAGAATGGATTTGATTCTTCTGGTATGACAAATGTACCTTTGGCTGAATATCCTCATCCTTGACCATCTTCATTCCCAGCGAGAAAATATTGTTTTTGTTATCTGAATCCACAGAAGCATCATCAACCTCAGAATCTGAATTATCTTCATTCTCTTCGATGATGCTCTCCTGCATGTGATAATTTATCATAAGGCCCATGCACAATGCTACTCTAAAATCTAAATCCTTGTATCTCCAGAACTGTATTATTAACAACAAGTATATAGATATTTTTGTATCACCTTTGCACCCCATATGGATGATTTCTCCACCTTTGAATGGCTGGAAGTGGAATTCTCTCTGTTGAAATTAAGCATCCAAAAAAGGAGTTATGAGGCTCAAATGATATAAACTGTATCTCAAATTTTCTTGAGCTAAAAAGAAGACAATTTAACAAACTTTTTGGTTCTGAATTGTATAACACATACAGACCCAAATAGGCAGGTGAACACAGATTCAAAGAATTTAAAATTTATGTGTACGAAGTCTAACCTGATTGTTTCATTTTCACCGTCTTTAGATCTTGATGTCAAAGAAAACCCAGCACTCTTGGGCAAAATAGGACCAAATTTTACAAAATCAGGAACAGACCGGCTCAACTCATGCAAAGGAGTCATTGGTGGCTCAGCAATAGGCAACATAGGAGCCACCTTCTTGCCTGAAGTGGAATCAGAATTCATGCAATCTTTATAATATTTTGCGTACAGCCGCGTGTTCTCATCCAATGATTCTCCATAAAGCTGCTCCAGCTTTTGCAATTTTTCTAATTGATGTGGCCTCATAGAAAATACCAAAGACTCATTGAAAAATTGATCAAAATCAGCTGTAAAGGACAGATCAGAAGAGTCAGGTATCACTTCCATCATAAGCCTATGCCTCTCCTCAGAATACCACCCCACAATTGAGCTCATGTGTGGAAGAAACAGGTTTTTCCAGAGTTCAGGAGCGAAATCGATCCGAGAGAAAAAAGGATCAACGATAAACATCTCAAGAGCATGAAAAACACAATTTTGAATGTTGTTCCTCAACTTCCACAAGTAGGATAGGTTTAGGTGTGCCCAAGCTGAGAGGTAGTAGTTTGGCACTCCAGCAGTTTTTTGCTCGGGATTCAACATTGCACACACTTGCAACATCTTTTCAGCATAATCTAGCCTTGCAAGCTTAGTTTCCATGTTATAGGTATTGATAGCTTCTTCAAGGGCTTCAATACCCCAATCCAGATTTGCTAACACTGCTTGATCAGAGTATTCCACCTCACTGTCTTTGTCACAACTTCCATCTTCAGCAGCTAACCTTTCTGCACACTGTTCTTTGTGCTGAGTTCTTTGTTCTTTGTTGATTAACCGATCTTGAATGAAACTATCAATAGATGTAGTCAAGAATCTAACAATATCCTTCTGGTCCATTGTGAATTTGAAGTTCCCTGCCATCTGTCATGTGCAATCACAACAAAGAAAACTTAATGGAATTTATCAAAAACCATTAAAATTAACATATAAAGAACCAAATCCATAAATGTAGACACTTATAGTAAGATTTCATATTGCAACCAAACAATTGAAGGAGGGAAAACAATGAATATAAAGCAAAGAACCTATAAGGTGAAGTCAATATTCAGCATAACCATCATTTAGGAAACATAAACTAAACTGTTTGTAGCATCAACTTAATTAACAAAACAAATCTAAATTTTTTACCTCAACCAATATTTCTTGTCAAAACACATATAATCTTGAGCACGAACTTAAGAATGGTCAAGATTAATGTGTACATGAAATGAATCCCTAAGGCAAATGAATAAGAAAATGCTGTTAAAATCTCTGCTATCCTTTTGAATCAATTACTTTTGTCATGAATTGTGCATGTAAGTTGACCAACAAAACAAACAGCAGAAAAAGTATATATGCCTAACAAACTTAACCCAACACTTTTTATGTCACTCACTATTTAACTACATATCAATTCAGAATCTAAAGGGGAACAAGAATCAAATCATAACTCTGATTATGAACAACCCAGATAAGGATTTTCCAAAAAGATTAGGCCTTTGACCTTAGTTCCTCCGTCCCTTCTTTTCTTCAACCACTACAGATTCTTCAGCTTGGCACGTTACAGTGACGGTGTTATGGTGGTGCACCAAGAAAAAGCAACACGTGTAGTTGCAATTGCACCGTTGAACAGCTCAAGTTCTGATGAAACCAAAATCTATTTGACAATATAGGCTTTGACTTTAGTTACTTCTGATCAAATAAGAAGCGTTTCTGAGATGGACATGACGAATGTGCCAACATGTTGAAGCCATTTAGGGGTGGAATTTATGGAGGAAAATTCAGAGAAGACCATGAGGCTGGAAGTAGCTATGATGGCCGGCATTGGACCAAGGCACATATTATTATTATTATATTGTTGAAAGGTTAAGCTACGTGTATAATATATGATTAAATTGTTAACAATGTCATGGTCACCCATTAGCGTGTCACAACTTGGCCTTTCGGTGTTAACTGGACATGCATGAAGGAGTGACACAAACAAGAGAATGCTAACACTATTTAAAACTTTTTACTGTTGGTTCAAATTTATTAAAATTACAAATTATGTAAGTTCTTTTTTTTTTTTGGTTAATGAGTATGATTCACATACAATATTCAAAAGTTGACAATTAAAGATTAATTTGCAATGATAAAATGTGACTGATGAAACATTATTTAGACACATACGAAAATCAAATTTAAGAAATCAATCTTAAAACAAGCCTTACAACCGACTAAAAGATTTAGTTAAATTGTGTAAATATAACATTTTATTTAATGAATTTCTCCTTCTTTAATAAAATTAATTGAAATTTATGATATTTAATAAATATTAACAAGAGAGTATATAAAAAAAAAGTTTGGCTGAGCTTTCTCGACAAACAATTCTGGTCTTAGCCTTAGATCGGATCAAACCATAATGTCCAAAATAGTCTTCTGTTTATTTCTGCTTTCAGTGGGTTGGAGAACGTGGATAGGTAACTCTTTTGCGCCAATACTTATTTTAGAAAGTTTGTCCTTATAATAAACCGTTATTTTAGTCCTGTAACAAAAAAAAAAGTTATTTTAGTCCGAAAATTGCTTCTTTTTTTTTAAATGTTTCTCATAAAACTTATTTATTTTTATTTTAGTCTTTATAATATATATTTTTTCATCTCTATAATATTTTGTATATATTGAATTATTCTCTTTGAGACAAAAAAATAGAGAATAAAAATAAAATTATTCACATATGTACAACAGAGAATAATATGTAAAAATAAAATTATTCACATATGTAAAAATCTTGAGCCCATTGTTAGATCAAAGGAGTCATGGGCCTAAATTGAGAGTATATTCCAGGAAGAAAAAGGGTGACACGTGTATGAAGAGGAGATAGAAATTAGTAATGGGAAGAGGGGGTGAGATTTTTCAGAACTGAAATACCCATTTTTTTCTTCTTCTTATAATTTTTTTTCTTCAAGTCTTCTTATAATTGTGTTATTGTAAGTGCAAAGTATATTGACTACGTGGATTACTAATTTCTAGAAGATTTATTTTTTTTTACTTTTTAGGACTTAGAGCATTTGCAACGGGAGTTGCTTATAAGCAATTCTTTGTGCCACATCACTGCCACATCTCTGCTTCATTTTATGAGTTGCTTAAATTTTAGAGTTTAGGATTTAGGGTTCGTGATGGTTAAACCCAACTCATAAAGTGAGTCATAGCTGATTTGTTCGTGATGTGGCACATGGGTTGCTTACATTAGAGATGTTCTTAGGAGTATAGTTTTTTTCTTAGAATTTGGGAGATTAAAACATATTTTTAGAAAGTATTTTTTAAGGAAAAAAATATTTTTCAGAAAATGGTATTTAGTGAATAAATAAAGAGAAAAATATGGGAGGTGTATTATTAATTGTATATATAATAAAGGTGTTGTGTATAACCATCAAAACTATATATTATTTATGTTTTTATTTGAATAATTCAACTTATAGCAATTATTTCTATTTTTATATAAAATTTAATTAATATTATTTTATATATTAATTATTTTTATTAAAATAATAATTAAAGTGTGTTATTTTAATTTATTAAAATATATTTATTAACTCTTTAAAATATTTTAATTTATTAAAAGAAAAATAAATATTAATTAAGAGAATAAAATAATATAAAATACTCGTTAGAAGATGAAGATATATAAATATTAATTAAAAATAATAAGTAGTACAATATAATTTTTAAAAATATATAAATATGAGAAATTTATAATTGTCAACTAAATTAATTATTTTTCTTAAAATTTTTGAATTAGGTAATTGAATATTATATATAAAAACAAACAATTTATTTTGTAATATAATATTATTTTTAATTATTGATTATTGATATTTTAAAAAATATTAAAATTTAATTAAAAACTAAATATAAAAGGTAATTATAAAATAAAAATATAAAAAAGTATCTAAAATTAAGTCTAAAATTAAAAATAAATTGTAATAAACTTATTATTATTATTTTATATTTTTGTAATTTAAACATTCATAACATATGCAAATCGAATTAAGAGATAAAAAAAATAATATTTTAAAAAATAAATGATGAAATAATAAGGTATAATTTTTAAAAGAATGAGTTTAAGAAAATATTTAAAATTCGAATAATTATCCTTTAAGAAGACTTGACCAACGCAACGAAAGTAACAAGTGACCGTCTCTGGCCCTTTTCTCTCTCTATTTATAACTGTTTCGTGACTCTCTGTTTCACTCGTCATTCCTTCGAGCTTTACACTGTCAAGAGTCTCTGTTTCTTCGATAGCAACCACCACTCTCCAATGCCTCCTCTTCCGTTAGATGTGATTACTCTTCTTTTGCTTTTTCTTCTGTCTCCCAAATTCACACTCGATCATGCATTTCCCTGCTTTTCAGTTTCTTGTTTCGTTTCTTTCTGATTCTTGCTTCATTTCTATCTGATTCTTGTTTGTCTCGTTACTCGCTAGGGTTTTTCCTTGGTTCTTGTTATCGTTCTTCTTTGATTCTTGTTTTGTTTGTGTGGTGCAGCAACCGGTGGACATGGATATTACCGTTCCCCGCTCTGGTGACCTTGTGACGACGGAAGGTAGAAATTAAAGTGATTTTGTTGTTAATGGTGATCAGTGAGTGTGCGCGGAGTGATGGAATGAAACAAATGTCTTTGTTTTAATTGATTTTTTTATTTTATAATTTTACTAATGTGAATTCTGGTAATAGCCCAAGCAGAAAACTTGACTCTGGTGAGTGGGGGGCCAATAAAGGATGAGCTGTCATCTTGGAGGTTCACATGGGCCATTGAGAATTTTTCAAGGCTTGCAAAGAAAGTATATTCTGATGATTTCTATGTTGGAGGATTCCAATGGTGTGTGAATTTCTGTCCAGATTCTTTAGTTGCTAATGCTAGTTACTTATGTATAAGGATGAAACATTTTTGCACATTTTGAATGGTGTTCCTGATTGATATTATTTGCAATGAACAGGCGGATACTTATATTTCCAAAGGGGAATAATGTTGATCATTTGTCAATGTATCTAGATGTTGCTGATTCAACGATGTTGCCTCCTGGATGGAGTAGATTTGCCCAATTTAGCTTGACTGTTGTTAATCAAATTCATAATCAATACTCAATCAGAAAAGGTAATTTCTATGTGACAAGTGTCTCATCCAAATATATAAATGGCTTGTCATGTGGATTCAGAAATTGAGGAATTGAATTTGCCTCATTTTGGTGGAGATTTGGTGTTTCGTAACCCTGAGTGAGAATGCTGTGATATATTTCTTTTAAACAATACATTTACAACATACTGAATTTTAATGGAGACAGAATCCCTGAACACAATTTCTGTTTTGTATGTATGCATGTAGGCAACAAAATATAGTTTGTAGATGCTTTAGCATTGTTTCGTTTATTTTTTTCTGCTCTTAAAATAGCTCTATATTTTCGTTTTTAATTGATATTCTATACATGTTATAAGATCAAATAATAGATCAGAGATTTAAATTCTGATAGGATATAAATTGAGTTTTCTCTGCTCAAGAGTTTGAATGATATCCCATGATTTATTACAAACTACATTCTGTACTTGTGCATTTCATGTGTATGTATATTCAGTTCTTATGATATTAATCATTTAAAGTTTATTAGTTACAATGTTAATTAGGTTGATATTATTCAAATTATTATATATTTTAAAAATACAGCATTATAATTTATTTAGACAAAAGACTAAACTTCTTATTTAATCCCCTAGGCATTTTCTTAACTTCCAAATTTCCCTTAAAAATTTTATGATATCAAACAAGTCTTTTAAAAAGTTAAAAGGATCATTTTTGTGTCTTTTAATATTTGTGGGACTTGCTTGATATGACTAAAAAATTAGAAAAACAAATTAGTTTCAAGTGAATCCTTGGAGGATCAAACTAACAATTTAGTCTAAAATAAAGTTTAATTGTTAAAGTTTAGGTTATAACTTTTCCTTCATATTTTCTTCTCCTATAAGTGCATATGGACACTTCAAATAACATTTTATCAAAAGTAAAATTTAATAATTCCATAGTTGAATTTAAACTTCTCATGAAGTATATCAAGTTCAGAAAATTTTACCCAATAAAAAGATTAATTGATACTTCGCCATCTCACATTGTTAATATATTATTAAAAATATGAGAAAATAGTTACTTTTTAATTATATATATCTATAAATATCTAAATCATATAACATTACATATGCACATTCCTTAAGGTAATATCACATATTTCAATGGTTTGATAGATAAAATTTATGTTTGTAAAAAGTTATTGGAGGTGTCATTTTATTAAATTTGACACCTGACATCATTTGATCATATATATCATATATCTGTATAGGTGTGTGTGTGTGTGTGAAATAACTCGTATAAGATGCATAAGTCATTTCTCTCTTAAGTTGCATAGGTAGTTTGCAAATATGGGCAGCAGTCCTTTCTTTGGGAATACTTTATTTGAAGTTCTTGGTGAATACTGGTGTCTGTTCTAACTATAGAGCAGATTGTTTTGTTCTTTTCATAGAATTCAATTTCTTTTGCTATATATTTTGTAGCCATCTAGATTTTTTCATGTTCTCTGGCATGCTTAATTGGAGCAAAATTTGTGCATTTTCAAGTCTTTTCCTCTTAGATATATGCATATGAAAAATATTAGAATGTGGTGCCTTTAAGTGTTAGAACAATGAAGATCCATGTATATCAGAATCTAAAAGTTTAATTGGACACTTAAAAATTTTGGTGTCACCTTACCTATCTCTAGTGCTTGTGAAATTTTGTCCTAGGAATAGGATGTTATATAATTGACTTGAGTGGATAATTATTGTTTTTTTGGAATATAAATATTGCACTTGATAGTCAAAGATTCCCACATCTGCTAGGCACATGGACGCCAATGTATTTCTTGTAATGACCTAGGCAATCCTCCCTTGTAAAGTTACCTTTTGGGATGTTTTTGGTTTATTTTCAATTTTACTCTGGCATTAGATCCTATCCAGTCTTGTCAGGTCACATTTACAAATTTCCAATCTTGCAAACTTCAGCCTTGAGAGTCAAGTTAGGTTGAGGTTTGTGTGTTAAGATCCCACATCGGTTAGGCATATATGGCTACAATGGTCTTTTTAATGACTTGGGCAATTCTCTTCCCTTGAGGCAAGCTTTCAGGGTTGAGATGAACCCAATCTGTTCTCAATTATAATATTTTTTCCCATTAGTCATTGGTGTTCTGCTTTATTGTAGTTTAGTTGTCTGATGGCAGGTTGAATGATTGGTTTTTTGTTTTTTTTCTCTAAAACCTTTTTATTTTAAGGATATCTTATCCTCATTTGTGTTGTATTTCTTCTCTTTTCTTCAATTATTGGAAAAGAATTAATTGATTTTTCATATTGCAGAATCACAGCATCAGTTCAATGCTCGTGAGAGTGATTGGGGTTTCACTAATTTCATGCCTCTTGCTGATTTATATGATCCTGCTAGAGGTTTTCGGGTGAATGATAGATGTATAATAGAGGCTGATGTTGCAGTACGTAAGCCTCTTGATTACTGGTCACATGACTCAAAAAAGGAAACGGGTTGTGTTGGATTGAAAAACCAAGGAGCTACTTGTTACATGAATTCTCTTCTTCAGACACTGTATCACATTCCTTATTTTAGAAAGGTTAGCCAATTTTTAATGTTCAAGCCTTTGTTTCTATGAGAGGAAGCACCTTATGTGCACTATTGTTACAGGCTGTGTACCATATGCCTACGACTGAGAATGACATGCCATCAGGGAGCATTCCTTTGGCATTGCAAAGTTTATTCTACAAGCTACAACATAGTGACACTAGTGTATCTACGAAAGAGTTAACCAAGTCTTTTGGATGGGATACATATGATTCATTCTTGCAGCATGATGTCCAAGAACTTAATAGAGTTCTCTGTGAAAAGTTAGAAGATAAAATGAAGGTACATTGTTTTATATGTAAACTGCCTACAGTGATGTTTTTGTGACATTTTTTAGATAACATTTGTCTTGTCTAGGAGAGTTTTGTATATAGATTTTCTTTTGCATCAGGGTACTGTGGTGGAAGGCACCATACAGCAGTTGTTTGAAGGTCACCATATGAACTATATTGAATGCATCAATGTTGACTATAAATCAACAAGAAAAGAATCATTTTATGGTAAGTAATTTGGAATTCTGTTGTCTATTGCATCAATGCATAGATTCATGGAACTTATGAAATTTTAAATATTTGGTTACAGATCTTCAACTTGATGTCAAAGGATGTCAGAGTGTGTATGATTCTTTTGACAAATATGTTGAAGTGGAACATCTTGAGCATGATAACAAGTATCATGCTGAGAAGTATGGTTTACAGGTAAAATCTGAATCTAAGGGATTATGATTTTGGTTGTCAAACTGAACTTCTTAGTTCTTACCTTGCTTTTGTTTATACTAATTGATAGTTGAAACCTCTTTTATGTATTAGTCTTCCTCCATTTGTTTTTACTACCCCCTCATTTTCATCAGTTTTTGCTTGAATTATCGTTGTTTGTTAGTCTTATCTTTTAATTTGTAAGTAGATAAAGGAAATGAAATGAATAACCCTTGTAATATTGTTGTTATAAATACTTTTGTTTAGTAAAACTTTCTGCTTTTGATTTCTTATGAAATAAAAATTTATATTCTTGTTAATATTAACTCTTAGAGGGGGGGGATAGGGAACTAACTAAACTTGTAGCAAAACTGAATAAATAAATGTCAAAGGATTTACCTTAGTTGGAGGATAGTTACTACAATTAGTTTAGGGCAGTGGGGAATGATGATTTATATAAATAGACTGGTGAATCCAGAGAGGGGACAGCTTGTAATTTTTGGGTATACAGAGAGGACAGTACCAAGTCTCTGGAATATGTGGGTCTACATGTAATTCAGTATCCTAAATCCTCATCCTTGTTAGAGTATCATCTTGATACTGGAAATTGGGGTCCATTCATTATAAACCCTATACTTTCTAGTTAATTATTGAATCATGTGATAAATAATACCATTTACATAGCATTCTGGGTGACTTAGTTTTACAACAAGGCTCTGTAAAGTGCATCCAACAAGTGGAAGATATTCAAAGACTAACGAAGAATCAAGTCAGTCAACCTCTTATGCAGCCCTTGATATTTGATTGTTTGGAATATTAGTGTGTTTCATTTGGCATCAAGACAAACAGAATTAGTATCGAACTAGTGTTTTATACGATAATGTATTTTCTTAATACTTGTACTTTTAAGAAAGCTAAAAAAATAAAGTATTCAAAGGATAATGATACTTTTCAATTTATTAGTTGTTTGTTTTTATAATTCACAATCAAATAAAAATGTCATGTAAATAGTGTCATATAAGAAGAAATTCAAACTTTTTAGTGTTAATAAATTTTTTTGATCAATATATTTTAATAAATAAAAAAATGGTACATAACGTTAGATAAGGATAAGGTTGAATTTTTGTACAGATAAGCAACTTACTAATTAATTAAAGTAGAACAAAAAAGCCATGTGATAAGGGGAGTGAGAGAGAACTTTTCTACTCGATGATTGTGAGTGAAAGTCGCACTCAGATGAGAGTTATATATATTATATAATGAATTAATTTAGAGTGAGGAAGGTGAGTCTTGCTCTTGAAGTTGTTGAATATTATAATTTACAGACTTGATTGTAGTGTTTTCATTAACTTTGTACTTGAGTCATGCTGTCTCATCGTATATCGTAGATTGTAACATTTAAAGCTATACAGTCGTGTCTCCAATTGTGTACTTATATATGCTGCATACCTTGTACTGGTATGGCTACCATGATGGAACATCTATCCATAATCCATCCTCATGGGTTTTAGTAGTGGAACAACCTTGCCTTATGCTCTGTACATCTAAGCCTCCCTAGATGGCATGATGATGCAAACCATGTGTATTGGGCTTCTTCTCTGTCCCCCAATCCCCTCCTTTTTAAACAATTTTACTTAGATTTTTAATTTTAGTCATTCTCCTTCATTATTATGATTAATCTTTCAGGAGGCTAGGAAGGGTGTCTTGTTCATTGATTTTCCACCTGTTCTTCAGCTTCAGCTAAAACGGTTTGAATATGATTTTATGCAAGACACTATGGTAAAGGTCAGTATTATATTCAAGAATTGGAATGAATTCTTCCCTTTTATCGATATATATGTATGTTTCAATGTAATTTTAACTTGTCATATATATATGTATATATATATATATTTAATTCAGATAGGAAAAAAAACAGCCTGTTAGCTAATTCAGGTTGGAAAAACTTAGGTTTTGGTTCCTCCTGCTATGCTAGGTGTCATCCATGTCTTACCCTTTTTGTTATTGGTACAGATAATACCATTATACAGTTAATTTTTTTTATTATATCCAAATTTATGGTAATGAAATCATAATGATAACTTGATAAACTTTATGCTTTTGGAATTTTTTCTATTATTTACAACATAATAGCTTATTTTTTTTTTTTTTAGAATTCAACCTGTGTATTTCAGTACAAGTGTTTCAACATAAAGATTTTAGCTATATTATGGAGGTTGCACTATATTTTGCTAGTAGCATTAAACTGAGAGAATCATGGTATTCTTTCTTTGGCTACCATAACCTGTGTATTTATTGAATGATACTTATGCTATATTGAAGGGTTGATGGTTTAGGAGGAGACCCTGATGGATGAGGAGGTTTTGAGGCCTATTTGTAATTTTAGAAAAAAGGAAATGAAATCCTAGCCTCAATCATCTCATTATGGTATTATCTTTAACAAGTGTTAGATATAATGAAAGATTGAAGAGTGATGTTATGATGTGATTATTTAGTATCCATATCTAGGAAGAAGGGGCCAATTCAAAATCTAACAATGGGGTGGTATAGTAGTGTTTTACTGTGTTTCATATATATATGTGTGTGTGTATCCTCTCTTTCAATCATCTAAATAAGCAAAAATGAAAAATTCTTCACTTTTTCCCCTATTTCTACCTTTCCATCCAAACAATATACTTCAATGATGTCCTACAACAGTAGAAAAACGAGATGTGAATCATCTGGCTTGGAGCCTTTTATCTATTCACATTCCAAAGACTCTCTTCATTTCTTCTTCAAAGGGTCTCTCAGGAATGATACCTTTTCCCAAAGTGTGATTCCCACTCCTTAACCATATCTTTCCTATTCCTCGTTCTTGCCATTTTATGAAAAAGCCTAAAATTTACATGTCCTTCCTTACCCCATCTGTGCTATTTTGGTGGTTTGGACAAGGATGATAGGATAGAATAAGCCATCATATCCTATTCAATAAACTGCTTGGTGAGCTAATAAGTTAGGATAAACTTATTGTGTCAGTTTATGCCATCTTGCCCATTAGTTTATAAATTGTCAGGTAGGGGGAGCTGGGTTAGGCAAGAGGATGCAATAACCTTTTTTGTTACCATCTTCATCAACAAAATTCTTTTGAGTTACTTGAAATGAGTTATGTAATTTTTTCTTAGATGTTTATGTTCATTTATATAAATTGTTAATTTTGGCCCTTCTATACCATGTATGGTGATCCCCTGTCCCTGGGTTTTACTTTTGTATTTATAAAATTTCTTTTTACTCTATTGCACCTGTAAGAATGACCATCAAATTGGTTTTCAACAGATCAATGACTACTATGAGTTCCCCCTGCAACTAGATCTTGATAGGGACAATGGCAAGTATTTGTCTCCTGAAGCAGATAGAAGTGTTCGCAACCTTTATACACTTCATAGGTATTGGTATTTTCACACCTTTTATTTTAATTGGCTGAAGTTCTGTTCAATGAAATATTCATGTGCTTCAATGTCAACTTTTTTTTCTTCTAGTTAATGGTTGTTTTGGAATTGCTTGATATGCTGCACTGTGAAACTAAGGCAGTAAGCCTATGCATGTCTGATTGGGTAGAAAATAGCAAGGTGGAAAATTTGGAATGAAAATGACTTCAATTTGCTTGATGTGGCAAGCTTGAAAGTAATGTGCAATTATTTTACATATTCTAATTTTGACACTCTTATAGCATGAAAGTGAGAATCAAAATCATTATTGGTGCATATGGAAGAGCTTATTTATATCTTATTTGGGCTCAGCTGATGACATAAATACCTGTGTAAGTGTTTGAGAGAGCTTATAAAAATAACTTTTGATATGTCCCTAAGCTATTTGAAGCTTATTTTAGTAAGCTGTTTAATATAACTTATGAAAACAATTTAACTTGATTTCCTCTTCAATTATAAGAACAACTTATATATAAGTGTAGCGCTTAAACTATTACCGAAACACAACTACATCATTTTCAATGCTCGTATTTGCCACCTAGTCATACAAGCATTGCTTAAATCAAGTGATTAGGAAATAGCCATATTGCAGAATTGTTTTTTAGGTTTGAAAATACTGTAGCTGCTGAACTCCTAACAGTCTGCATGTAGCATCAATTCCAGTTAAATCATAGAGTAGGTTAGGAAATTTGAACTAAAAGACACAGAACTCCTTCTGTATTGCTTTGATGTGTGCATAAGAGTAGCATGTACTGTAGCTATACAGTTTCTATTTATACAAGAAATGACTTGGGTCTTTTGATGATGGCTTTGTGCCATTAATGTAGAATACTATATATTTGTAGTTGGTATAGCTTTTCTGTATTGCTTTGATGTTGTAATTGTATTATATAAATTGGTTGGTGTTTGTGGAGTCCGCAATTTAATCAATTAAGTGATGATTGATCTCAATAGAATTTCCTTATAAAGCAATGAATTCAAGCAAAGTGGCCAAATTTTGAGACAGGAAGCTGCATAGAGTTTAAAAATTGAACTTGTGTCATACAATAGTAGGCCATGTGAACCCAAGCCACTTAAAGACTAACAAGCTTGTACTGTTACCATCTTATGCATGTTAAATTTTAGGCTATTCAATTTTATTCCTCTGCTTGCATTTGCAGTAAATTAAGCTTTAAGTGATTAGGTTTGAGGTTGTTAACAGCTTATAGGGATGGATGTATTTCTCTAATGCTTTAAGATTTGTGAGAGAGCAGTGTACCGTTTCATGTTAAGATAGTCACGCACTGGTTATAAGTTATTTGTCTATCTCACGAAGATCAAATTGGCTTGTAGTTGTCAAAATGTGGTGCAGTATTTTATGACAATAATTTGCTTTTTCTAACACACATGGTCCTTCTACGGGGTTTATTCCAAATACTATGGCTTCCGTTAATATATTGTCATTTTATTTTGTATGTTTGCTTGTTTTTGTTTTGGATGACTCCTTGTCCTCTAAATTCTTTGTAATTTTTTTTATTCATCTCAATAAATTATTTGTTTTATAATGAAAATTGATGAGAAAAGTAATTAAGGAATTAGAATTTGGATAGATGGAAATTCCTGTATCTTTTATAAAATTTGATTTTGCCTTTGATTTATAATTTATAATATACTTATGGATCTTGTCTGCATCATTATTTGTTTTCAGTGTTTTGGTTCACAGTGGTGGGGTTCATGGTGGACACTATTATGCTTATATCAGGCCAACTCTATCAAATCAGTGGTAAGTTGTTGAGGCCAGTTTGGTTCGTGTAAATGTTTTATTTTAATTTTAATTTTTTTTTTTTACAAAGAATCACAAAAGTGGCATGGCACCTTCTCACTTTATTTTTTGGTTTGAGTATTTGAGGCTTTGTTAGAGCGAGCAAGAGGAAGCTGTGTTTCCAAATATTTTGTGTGTTTTTAGACCTTTTGGATGATTGTTTGGTTAACACAAAAAAAAAATGATTTGTTGGGTGTCCTTAAGAAGTACTAACATTTTGGTGTTTTCCTTTTGTCTATTGTTTATTAGTCTTGCTTTTTACTATGTTCATTCTTTGATGTTAAAAAATGTCTATCATAAGAGGTATTGCTAGCATGATAGTTATACCATTTTTTTCTGAGCTAAATGGTTGCTATATATCTTACTGATTCTTATTTAAGAGCACAACATAACCTGCTTCTTTCAGGTTTAGATTTGATGATGAACGAGTAACAAAAGAAGATGCAAAGAGAGCCTCAGAAGAACAGTATGGTGGTGAGGAAGAGGTAACACTCTGTTAGTATTGCCGTAGGCCCTTTTCCATCTATTGTTGGATACTGTTTTAGTGAATTTTCTTGTTCATGTCATCATCACATTTTTTTTTCTTCTTTTCTATAGTTACCTAATACCAATCCTGGGTTCAACAACTCTCCCTTCAAATTTACAAAGTACTCAAATGCATATATGCTTGTTTATATACGTGACAGTGACAAGGATATGATAATGTGTAATGTGGATGAGAAGGATATTGCCCAACACCTCAGAGTAAGACTTTTGACTCATTGATATATTATTTTTGTTATATTTATGATTACGATGTAAAAATGTCTCACTTTCAAATTACATTTTAGGTTAGATTAGATAAAGAACTAGAAGAGAAAGAGAAAAAGAGGAAGGAAAAGGCAGAAGCTCACTTGTACACCATCATAAAGGTTACAACTCTTTC